GCTGTACGTCATATAGAGCCGTCTTTTTTTTTTAAGCAAAATTCGTCCAACTAAATATCCACCAACTCAGATATTTAATGTTTCACTGCATAGGAAAAGCTATAGTGCCATGATAACTTTTTTTAATAGTTTTGTGGGGATACCGAATTCAGTAAAAGTGGCATAAAAGCAGCGCCTTTTCGAGGTGGAGTGTGTTTATCCTCTTTTCAATGGTCTATTGTTGATTTTTCAGGCCTACAGATACACTGGTAAGGTCCAATCAGTTTATTGACTGTTGGATTTAATCTTTCACACAGTCCGCTCGATGGAAGCTTATATGCGATGTTGAGGCGGCTTAACTCTCTCTCTTTTTATGTATTGACTACGGAATACTCAATAGTCGCGTTTGCTTTCGTCTGCCCATATTCGACAAAGAAGCTGATTCATGCTCCTTACAAGTTGTTCCTCAGGCGGGTATTTGCTATTCGAACTTCTTCATGGACGGTCACTGATCGGCAAATAAGCGTTCCATCGTCATCGATTAAGGAATTGGGCTTACCATCTCCTAGGGTTATGCTTCCACTGTCATTCATTCTGGACATTAGTCACTCCATTACCTCTAGGGGCTCTACAAAATAGATGCCTCTGAAAATGTAGATTACACTTTCAGATTCAAACAACTTCCATTCGGCATGCAACATTTGACTGCTGACCAGCCCACAATTGACGCCTAAACCAGCCAGCGGATAATAGAATGAAGTCATTTTAGCTGTCCTCCGAGCATACTGTGAGTTGGAAGTTAGTTAAGAAAGCAAGAAAGGCAATTTGCACACTACATTGAAAGCCACTGTTGCCAAGCGCATTCTGTCCACCAACAACAATGCGTGCGCCATTAGAGAGAACGACGACAACATTGTGGAGAGCACTCGCCGGTATTTTTATATGCACAAAAGGTCATCTTGTCCTTTTCAGTTCTTTCACAGCCCAGTTGCTCGTTATTTGCGCCGCTTTTTGTTGCATTGTTCGCCTGCGTGTTGTTGTAGTCGCGCTTTTTTGCCCCTTTCGTGTTGCTAACTTGGCCTGTCTTGGGAAAATTCACTCAATCGTCACAAGTAAACAACATTAGCAGCAGAGCAACAAGAACTATAAGAGCAAAAAATCAAGGGAAACGACAACAACAACGAAAATTGTTGCAAAAACTATGACGGCTGCCTGCCATGGCTCAAACGAACTGCAAAGAGCTGCTTGACTGTGAAAATTACTGCCACTCGTCATTAAAGGTATGTGGGAGTGTGTGTTATAGGTATATCTACCTTATATGTATATGTATAGCTACAATGCACTTTACGCAGATGAATTCATCTTCCGTTGACTTTTGCACTGCATTCATTTGCTCCACTCAAAGATTGCACCTTGAATTCCTAAATTCCTTTAAATGCATATTTTCTTAAAGTAATTTAGCTGTTTGCTAACTAGGATTCCTAGTTTGGGGCCTCACGCAACCCAGCTGAATGAAGGCTTTCATTTCTGTTTCTTTTTACCGTATTCTTCAGTTGGTGAATGTATTATGTGAAGCGATGTAGATATAAGCTAGAAAACATAGTCAATACAGCGTCTACCAATAGGGATGTTGCGAATGTGACAGCTTGTGGCGGCCACATTTGTTTGCGAATTTGTGGAAAAAAACTTTTCAGCGCGTTCAGTAATGTTTGTCATTTCATCATGACACGTTTCATTTTGATACAACGCCTGGAAATTGTTCAACATCAATAGGCAAATTCACGTTTTCCGGTGGCTACTTACTGTAGGATCTCTGAAATTTATGAAATCGACGCGGACGTTCACTATTTCCAAACAAGTTGATGAGCCGTCTCATCTTTCATTTCTAAACGGGTGAGCTCGGTAGTGAGTTGTTCCACTGACTGACTCCACCCTTAACATTGCGGACGCCAACATAGTTTTCAATGGTCCGGAGTTTTTCATGGCTCTACCGCAGTAACACCGCAGTACACCGCGAGTTACGCAGCAGATACAACCGCGGACATACACAGCAGGAAAAATATAGAAATGTCAAAATAAAGCAATGCCTTGCAGCTTACAAATATATTATAACGAACCCTGGATACGGCGAATTTACAAAGGAAAAGGCTGCCAAAAAAAGGCTTCGTTACAAAGTCGTACCAAAGACTTACGGCAATGTGAACCCGACACTTTTGATAAAGAGTTCACAATAAGTACTGAGATCCACAATCCTTACCTATCCTCGGGCATGAATACGTTTGCTCCGATTTGGATAGTTCTCCTAAGTGGCACATCTCAAAGGCACTATTCGGACAAAGCTTTATCCGCTTACATGGTTCTTGATTTGCATATTTGAAAGTGAAGGCAAAGATTTGGTTTTTGTCTGATTGCACCCATTTTCGCACTGTAAGACAGAAATGTCAAAACGATTTCACGTACCGAACTGGGTGGAAATCGGTAGAAAACGTCACGAAAAATGGGTTTTAACAAAAAATATCATTTCTATATATGTATATAGTCTAATATCTATCTCGATTAGTTTTGGGTGAGTCAAACAACCGTCTGTGAAAAAATTATTACACTCTGTAGCATCATGTAGCAAGAATATGAAAATACCTTCACCGCCCAGAAGCTATCACCTTCATTAAGAATCCTCACATGACAAGGAGTGAGAAATAACGAGTTTTCTTGACTGAACTCACAAGAGAAAAAAGTTAAAGCAAGCAACACTCAGTGGCGACTTACGTAGATCGCCAATGGCTGCAACAACAAACGCTGTATAAATGTATGGGTGTAGGTATGTCTGCATAAATATGTACATGTGTATTTATATGTAGTGTCGATGAGAATGGCTCTGGCAATATTGCCTCCATCGATAGTAAATATGTTGGCCGTCACTTTGCCCGCCGCTATCCGCCACGTTAAAAAGCTTCTGTTTCCGTTTCCGCCCGCATACAGCTGAGCTGTCCATTCGACTGTCCAGCAGTCAGTTCAGCTGAGTTCAGTGCGGTGGTCATAAATTTTCTTATGTTATCATGTGAAAGTATAACAATTTCATGAACTTTTTGATAATGGAAAAAGTTTGTAACGCACAATTCACCTCCGATGCGCCGCCTGTGCGACCACTGAAGCGTTGCATTTCATGCTGCTACTTACATAAATACAACTGAGTACAACAACAACAATGCGCTGTGCGACGCATTTTTAACTTATAGCCTATGTGCGCGGTGTGTTTGTGTGTTAGTGGAGTTTACTTTACACTGACACCCCTACGCACACATGCATATTTAGACTAACATACAGATATTATCTTCATTTTCACTTCTACTCCTGATTGACAGCTGAGATCTTTTATTACTGACGCTTGCTGTTAACGGTGTTCGGCCAGTATTTGTTGCTATTTGGCGCTTTCGCCAGTTGCTCCAGCACTTGCTGCCTCACACATATCAGCAAGTGATTGCAGAGCGCCTACTCGCATGTGAAACGTTATTCGTAAAACCCCTATTGGTTGGTATGTTTCTATATAATAGCTTTTTGATGTCTCCCGTGGGCAGTTCGTATTTCATATATTTTATCTGTGTGTTCAGCAGCTGCCTCGGTCTAACTAAAGTCTTCGTTTGCAGCTGTTTTGTTAGCGGCCCGTAGATTGCCTTCGTTAACCAGCGGCTATTTACTAACTTATATAAGCCCTTGTTGGTAGCGTGCTTGTAGCCTTTGCTGCCAGGACAACTTTTACAAAGTGATGCTAAGCAGAAGGGGTTTAAAGTTTTATTCCCTTTTCTATTCGAGCTGCAAATAGACAAAGTGGTGCCTCAACATTTTTCTTATTATTCCACGAGTATTTGCTTTTTTCCTCAATCTTCTTACTGGAAATTTTATAGCAATATAACTGACAATACAACAGTAGTGAAAGGTGAAGACTTCAGCACCAGAAGGAGTTACTGCTCTTATTATTAAAATGTAGAGCAAATGAACTGTATGGCCGTACTAAAGTTGGAGTATTAAAAATAGAGAGCGTGATAGCTTTGAAAGCTTTTTCTACTATACAATTTGTAAGCAGATCATGACATAATCTGATAGATCGTTAAAAAATAAAAATTAAAAATAAAACTCATATAACATTGGCAATTGCAAATTCATCTTTGACTTCATGATTAAATTGAAAACTCAGCTCTGACAGAATGATGCTGGAGTCGCCTTTCACTACAAAAATAAAAGACTAAGTCATGAGCATTGTGATCAAAATATTAGGTATTTGAGGGCTTGAAATTCAATAGTTCAATTTCTACAATTTTTGACAGAAAGATATCACGTTTCGAGGCTACTATTTCTACGAGGTTTTGTTCTGATATCTTTATTAATACTAATATACCTCCACTCAAAAGTCAAACTGATGCTCATTGTTTTTTGTCAAATTCGTTGTTTGGTGCATCATGAATTTGATTCGGAAGGCCAGATAATTAATAAGCAGTACTATTTGCCCGCATTGAGGCGTTTGAGTAAGAATATCCGTCGAAAACGGCCGGCATTGTGGAAAAACAATTTATCGATTTTACGCGATGACAATGCATCATCGCTAAAAACGCAATGATTACCATCGATAAACCACCGTTTTCACTAGGTTTGGCTCCGTGTGATATTTTCTTGTCCTCCAAACTGATATTAATGATCTGTTGAACGTTTTCAGTCGATCGAAGTGATAGAACCAAGTGCGCTAACGAAACTGAAAGCCAATTTCCGAGTTATTTTTTGTCACAATGTACATAGCAGAATGATTTAATTTTCATATTGCCGAACTATTATTAAATCGTTGTTTTCATAATGACTTACTTCTAAAAATAGAATGAAGCTGTATCCTTTGATTTGTGGAAAAAAGAAGATTACAATCACGTAACCAAAATATGGGGGGTATAAATATGCTTTTAACAAAACCTTCAAATCAACTTAAATTTCTTTTAATTTTAACATTATGGTTTGTATTACAAATGAATTATTAATAATTATGCTTCCACTGAAAGCAACATGTTTAAATTATAAAAATCGAAGGTGTCTGCCTTCTTTGCCCTTTCTTGCTCATCCGCGCTGTTTTCTTCGTTAACGAAACCCTTCGCTCTACCTAGCAGCCAACGCTGTGGCGGTTGTGGCAAGGTTGAAGCCGCTGGCGCATTAAAGATTTTGCTGCTAGAAAAGTGTGTCGCCGAAGTCGGCATTCCCTGGAAATTTCTAGCAAAACGATGATCTTTAGAAAAATTCTGTCGAATGCCAAGATCGTTGCGATTACTATTCACTGGGTTTGCAACGCAGCCAGAGGGCAGTGGCTGATAGTTGCGGTCATCACCAGAGAAAACGCCACTTTCAGTGCTGCTGGTGCTAATACTTCTAGGCCGAGAGGACTTATTTGTACATGCCTTGGACATTATCCGGTTGCCGCTTCGCCTACAGTTATCACTTTTACGTCTGTCATTATGACATGAGGAGTATCCGTCGTCACTGCTCAAATCAGTGTTTAATCCGGGAACAACATATTGTCTGTGTTGAGCATGTTGCTTCCGTTGGCGGGGTTTCAGAAATTCCCTCCCGCCATCGCTAGACCTAAGAGTCGGCGATGAACTGCAAGAATATGACGTCGTTGAAATGGTAATAGCAATCGACGTTGCAGTGGTCACGTGCTGAATTGATTGGTAGTGATTTTCGATATTCGAAATGCTCAGAATATGCAATTCCTTTACTATTCTAAATGTTATGGCTGCTTTTGATAAGCCCGCATTTTTTTCATCACAATCACCAGCATTCTGCAAACTTATGCTCGTCGAAGGAGACTTTTGAAAATTCATGAAGTTTGCCATTATTAAGCTTATTTAGAGCGTGTTCTTGTTGCTTTAGTATTAAAACTATATACTAATACTAAATATACGATAATGTGTGCGCTTTTCTAACTTATTCAGTTCCTCATAAAATAATACATAGATTTATTTAAGCTTGCTAATATTTCATAAACTTAAGTGAAACCTTCCGAAGAGACCTTTGCTTAGCGCTCTTGGTTTATTACTGATGACTTTGCTGAGGCTCTAGCGACTTAAATAGATAACTTGAGGTGTAAAGTATTCGTATTGCACATTGTTAATGTTTTACCTGATAGCGTCCATAGAAGCGTTATACAAAGCGCTTGACCTCAACCAGAGCTTGCGCAGGTAGACAGCATTTGTCCTGTGCTTAACAATTAAGTAATTATTGTAGCGTGTTTTGTTAAACAAGTCATTATAGTCTTACAAAAGTTATTTTGATATATTTTGGCTTTGTTATTTGGGAATAATAAATATGCACTTATATCCATCACAAAATAATCGCCACTTCTACAGAAAAGTACATATGTTATTTAGTAATCATAATGCACAAGAAGAATTATTTTTATCTTGTAATTGCAAGGTTTAAACGCAAGCAAATATTGTCACGTGTTGACAAAACTTTGTGTTTATTTTTGACATAAAACTAAATTATTTTTAAAAAATATTTTGTTTGAATAAGTCATGCCGACGAAGCTGAAAAACCCTCCTTCTAAGTAAGTATCCAGAAATTGTAAATAAAACGCAAAGTATTTAATTATACGTCAATATTTACGATTTTTCCAGTCCTCGAATTACTTTTCATAAGAAGTTTTTGAGATGGCCTTCAGCTCTTTCAGCGAATTTTGTTTTATCTCTTCGCTCGATTGAAAACGGCTTCCCCGGAGCGGAAATTACAGGCTGGCGAACAAGAGCAAATCACACTGATCCAAATCTGGTGAATGCGGTGGTTGATGAATAGCGTTCATTGCACTTTTGGCTTTATATTTATATAATCGAAGAATTCACTTTTAGAGCCTTACAAAAGGACGCGTATTGCAAATACTAATGAATATTTTGACGTGGAATTTAGCAAAGATTTCACTAACAGTACTTTCAACTTACAGAAGGAAAATTTTAACTAGAATTCTGTATACTCAAAAATTGTATTGCTTTTCTAATACTTAACCAAATAAATAATTCAGTGCAAAAGCATAAAAACCATGTAATATAAATAAGCAGCCTTCTTGATTGTATTTAGATTTACGAGTAGCGAAAGAGGTGACCTCGGTAAACGGCATTATAACTTATTTATATATATGTAACGGGTGATCCATTTCGAGGTACTTTAACAAAAACCTCTTTTTCACAGATCACGCGCGAGTCGTCGCCAAGCTGTCATGTTAATTTTGTTCAGTATTGTTTGGCATTTCATCATGGAAAGACTTACGCTTAAACAACGCATACAAATCGTTCAACTTCTTGACGAAAATTTACGCTCTGTAAAGAATGTGTTTCGTACTCTTCGCTCAATTTATCGTCGACATAAACGGCCTACTTAGCCTACTAATATAGCAGCCATAGTTGGGAGTATATAAAGAGAGTGTGAAGAGTCGATACGGCATAGTTCACAACAACTAGGTCTGATGTATGGAACGACTTCGTGCAAAGGTTTAAATACGTCTAACTCCTCAAGAAAGAAGCCACGGCATTTTGACCGGTGATGCAAAATAGATCCATTACGACAACCCTAAATATACATAATATTTGGTGGAATTAGAAGTGCGTGCTGTGTTATGAGCTTCTAAAACCGAGTGAAACCGTTGATAAGGAACGCTATCGGTAACTAATAAGCGAGCCACATTTGCAAATAAGACAGAGAGATGCCGAAATGCATGAGTACAAAAAGTTTGACAAAATAAGGTGACTGAAAGATGATTTCGAGACCGAAAGGACAAGTGACTAATGGCCAGAGCATACTGAAATTATGGAGGAAAAACATCTACAAACAGCCAAATGGCAGTGGAAGCATGATACCTCGAGATGGTGAACCCGATTCCGCAATCGATGACGATGGGGCGATGTTCGAATAGCAATAACCAATCTGCAGAACAACCAATCAGCGAGCTCCAATGGATTGAACTAATAAGGAGCATACATCAACTTCTTTGTAAAATATGGTCGGACGAAAGAATACCGACAAACAGCAAGACCTCACAATCAGCGCCAACTACCTTGGTAAAAACCTGCTCAACATCGCATATAAGGTTCTATCCAGCGTACCGTGTGAAATATTACAGCCCACCGTCAACAAACTGATTGGACCTTGTTAGTGGGGTAAGACCCGGGAAATCAACAACTGCCCACATATTTAACACGGGCAAGTTTTCAAATAGACCAAATATTGTAAAATGATCGGCACACACCTGTTGCTCGATTTCATAGTTGCTTTTGACAGCACGAAAAGAAGCTGCGTTTTTGCCGCTATGTTTGCCCGCCTTGAAGTTTAGACTTTACCCCTTCTTACTCGTACTACCAGTTGTTGCGGTGGATGTACAATTCCTCTACAACAGTGCGGTTGATATTAGAGCAGTGCATTGATTCATTTTTAAAGTATCGTAAGTAATACTATTGTAAATATTTTTCTAAAAGAGAAGTTAAAATTGGAGAAAAATACGCATTAAAATAATTGGATATAGTCTTTTTAATGTTAAAAAATAATATTATTTTGTTTATGCTAATTCATGCGAAAAAGAGTTATAAAGAGATTCCGCTAATATAATGGTATTGACTGAATATACCAAAGTTAGTTCTTAAATCATAGATTAAGATTCATCTAACCGATAAGAAGATTATGCTTGAAGTGCTTGGTTACGTTCATCACGTGATCAAGTTAAGGTCTAAGTATAATCAAACAATATATTCGGATTTGACTTAAAGATTGCTGTTAGTCAGCTCAACAGTACAACTCACAGTTTCTGCCATAAAATATGTTTGAACAACTCTGTAAAAGATGAACTGCGCTTACCACGCCACCACATGCCGCTCTGAAGTAACCAGTACCAGCATCCAGTAATATTCAAAGGAATGAGTCACACACACACACGCACACACACATATAGAAACATGCGGGTGCAAAGTACAAGACAACCACTACCATTGTAACAGCAATAAAACTGACAACCCACGAACGAGCCGAGCAACGAACGTGTATACGAGATGTGCAGCAGCGACGACATTGCAGCTAGTGGCATCATCAATTATGCTTATCAACGGGCGCACAAATTTACTACTAACCGAAGAACATGCTGTGGTGAAAGGAACCGATGTAGTGGAGCTGAATATGTGTGTGTGTGTGACGGCGTTGGAAGATGATCACTAAACTCAGTGGCAACTGCTGTTGCTCCGCCGAAGTTGCTCAACCGGCTCAAAGGTGGCAGAATTCCACAAAATCAGCACAAGTTCACACACACACACACACTAGCAGTAACAAATAGCTTAGAGCATCTGTAACTCTTAGATGCGCCCACAGTAATCCTTCACGGCTACCGCCGCTTCCGCCCCTATCTCTGCTGTTGGCTTTATGTACATTTGTTTCTATCGTTTGCTTTCTGTGAACATCAAAACTTTTGCATTTCAGCTCCTGCAAACGACGTGTTATTGTTGGCATTGCGTTCGGATTGTTAAGCTTGTCGGACAGGTAATAAATATGAACAATTCCTGCTGCCAGTCCGAGAGCGCAGGAAGCAGCAGCAGCCGCCGCAGCCGCAACATCGACAGCAGCAGCAGCAACTGTGGCAGCTGTGCACAGCTCAATTGACGCTAAAATATTTGCAGCTGGAGAATTTAAACTGGCATAACTTACTAGTTGCAGCTTAAGCTTATGTTGACCTTTTCCTCGCTCTCTTACTGACGCTCTGGCTCTTCGGTTAGCACTATTACTTGCGGTAGTTTTTGCTCTGATCCGGCGTTGCGCTATCAACTCTATTGCTTTGTGTGTTTGTTGTTTTATTTTTCAGTTATTTTGGCGTTATTTTGTTAGTTATGCGCAAATGTTGGTAGTTATCGAAAAAAGTTACTTCGATTGGCTTATCATGCAGTTGTGGCTTGCTCACTATTGACCGAGAACGCTTAGCATGTCGAGGCGCTTTCGGTCGTAGTGTTAACTGTGATTTAGTGCTTTCTCGATTGGCGTGAATTGGAGTTTGGCAATAAAGTTTCTTCGATTTGTGGTTTACAGCAGCGAATGAATTTTTAAGGTTATGTAGCTCTGTTGTGGTCTTGCGGCAAGGTTTCGTGAATGTGAAAACGAAGCGTTTGCGTATAATCATAATTAGAGTGAGGCTTGAGAAAGCTTACAAATATTTTCGAAACAATTACATTTATTCCTTTGAAACCTCGTATTTGGTGATTGATGGTATTTGTCTCATATTTGATTATTGAATATAGAAACGAAGTCTTTTTACGTACCTGTCTTTAGTCTTTTTGAGTGTTCATATTTTATATCAAACTACCACCATCTTATTGTCGAAACTTTCTACAAGTACTGACGGAGGTCTCTTAACAATAATGTTTAACAATTCTAACTACAAGCTGGAGTTCAATAGTTGACTTAAAAACCTGCAAAACAACTGTATTTATGAAACCATGAATATTGCTTTCAAGTCACTTCTGTGTGACTTTTGCCTTGTGACTTTTGAGCTGGAACAGAATCCTAATGAGAGAGAGATGTAATTTTTGAGAACAAATACTGCACCACTGATGTCTCTAAGAAAAGTTGATGACGAGTGGAGTACGAGCACTTAGGAGTCGCTAGAGCTAGCCCCGGACAATCATTTTCGGATGAGCCAATCTACTGAAGCAGTGTCTCTGGGAGATCTACGAAAAAGCAATCACATTTTCAGACCTTCTGAACGAATTCCATCTCAACTGTTAGATAATTGCATTCTAACTATTCTAATCCCAAAGATCTGATGACATTATGCTGGTGTTCCCAAGATGTTATTCAGCTGATTAGTACCATC